TGGACGTGGCCCTTAGTGCCATGATATAGTAATTGGAGTTGGATCAGGGGTTGGACTTGATGATCTTGGAGGTCTCTTCCAACCCTACCTATTCTATGATTCTAAGTATTATTAAAAACCATCATGTCAATGAAATATAATTACTTTCCACTTTCACTGGAAATCTAGCCTCTTTCGGAAGCCCTAGCAGATAGTAGAGAATAGTTCCATATAGAAACTTAAGTGTTTACATGATTTATCAAGGCCACCTCCCAGACCACACTGATTTTTTCCTGAGCAGTTTGCATATTTTTTTGCCAGCAACCTGTATGATTGGTGACTTTTGAAAACTCTGAACTCCATTTCTTCAGCACAAGTATCAGTACATTAACCTGCTGAAGACAGTAAGATATACAGCTATTAGTGAAGAACAAGAAGCAAGATCAAGCTTTGCAAAGAAAATTAAATCCTCTGTTGGCTGTCTCAAATTATTCAGAAAAAAAGTCAATTGTAAGAGTAATAAAAATAAACAGCAGGATTGCTATCTCTGAAAGGCCCCAGGACATACAGGGATAGATAAAAATCACTGAAGCACAGTCTAGGATCTTAGAAATGCCAAAAATGCATTTGAAACCAGATCAGTTGCAAACATCCTGCCTTGCTTCTGGTGTGCCAGTGTACCCAAAGGCAAACAGAGGGAAGTCCCATGGGCAGGCGCCGAGCAGGGATTTGGTTGATTTGGGTCAGTTCCATGCTTCTGCCATACATCTTCCACAACCTTGGGCAAGCAGATTAATTGCTCTGTGCCTCAACTTCCCGCAGTAAAATAGCGTCAGCAATAAGAGCAACATGGATTCTGAAGTAATTTCATCCATATGTCATCCACGATAGAGCCTACAATTTCTGATGGAGCTGGTATATGACTTTTAAATGGCCACACAGTCGTGTCCCTCTCTTGCCCTTTATGTGAAAGCTCTCGCTTTACAGCATCTTTTCCATACACCTTGTGCAGCAGACACTGTGACACAGCTGTAGGACAGAAATAATACATTTCACAGCAGCAATAAAACAATGGGAGCCATAATTTCTTTGAACTCCGGGTCAAACTTGTTGTTAGCCAAGTCTGTAAGAACTCATATAGTAAATTACATACGTGTCTTTATCAGCAGGATCATAAAAGAAAACTTTACAACCCTTCTGAAGGTCATGGGTCTGCAACAAACAGTAAGACAAAACAATCAATTCACCCCTGAGACCACCATTTTTGTGACTTCAGCAGCTTTGGTTAGATCTGAGGAAATTAGAACTTTGTCAATCTTTATACAAAGTCTTTCTTATTTCTGTTTTGGACCCATCTCCCATTTCTCCCTAAGTGTAAGGCAAAGGCTAAAACAACAGTAATAATGGCTGTTACTGGTTTCAGCAACAGCAAAGCCACATATAATGGAAACACATTTAATGGAAACAATGACCAAAGTGTTTCTTGGCAAATTAGTCCCTGTCACCCCCTAAAGAAAAACGCATCTATAAGCTATTTCCAAAACAATCAATATTAATCCAGCAAGCAAAACTGTATGTTACATTTCCCATCAAAGTCTTGGCTTTCCCTCAAACAAGTGATGCTTTATAAATTACAACTACTAGCAAATAAACTGGAGAGAGGACTGCTGAGCCGGGCACCTTGCTGCTTTTCCCATAGGTCTGGGGGCCTGGATGCAGGTAATTCAGCTAAAATACCTGTGCTGGTCTGCTGACTTTTAAACACCTGGCCCAGCGATGTATCTTTTTGTCTCTGCTTGTACAGAAACTTGTAAAACAGTCCATTGAACACTGCCACAGCATCACAACATAAATCATAATGGAGAGAACAGCAGTCTCTACTCATAGCTTCAGAGTGTGCATTTGCTGTCCTCCGGATTTAAAAATGAGAAGACTGAGATATGATGTTAGTTCTGAAGGTATTATTTTTTCAATTAAAAATAGAGCACTTTGGGATACTTTGATCCCACATGTAAAAAAATTAAGTGAAAGGATTATCTGATATTCTTGAAATGAAAAAAACAAACGTTTTCCTCTAAACACTCTTCTGAGAGGCTGGCATTTGGTTATGCAAAGTTTATGGCATTGCTCTTTTATCTCCCATCATTCTGTTCTAATGTTGCAAAGCTACTGACGCAGTAATCAATGACACTCATTCTTTCCTCTGAAGCTCAAAGTGAGGACAAACTTGAAAAGAGGCAAGTACAGTCTGCTGAGGAACTGAAACGTCAAGAAATACTTACCAAAATGATGCTAGCAGAGACAGTGCTAGTCACCTGGACTTGAGGGCTGACTGCTTACTGTACTAAAAACACCCTAGGGTAAGCTACTGCACTGCATGGTCAGGCTAAGAGATGGCTCCTGTGTGCAAAGAATAACAGCTTTTTGTTTGAAGTGTCAGAGTTTTTATCTGCCTTCAGCCACTGTCACAGTGCAGACTCTAAGAGAAGATATAGCAAGGAAAACTGCTGAAATTAAGAAATTCTTGGTGCATTTCCCTGCTCACATGTCCAGGAGGAACAAACTCCCTGTCCTCCAGATTAACTTCCGTTTCATTCTAGGAGAGGAGATTCAAAGGAAATACATGACATTCCACATGGAAATCCCAAAGAAAACATGTCGCATTCCTTGGCAATACCAGCCCATGTTATATATACATAGCACAAAGTGAACAATGCCAGCCTGGAGGGAAAGAGCAGCTCCCACCCTTGCTGGGTACCCATAAATCAAGCTTCTCACAAGAGCACCAATCTCTGTATTAACCCTGAGCAGTATCATCACATACACAGGCCTCAGCCTCTCCTCTTTCCCACCACTAAGAAAACTAGCACATGTTGAAGGCTGTTGCCAAGATTGGACAACCTTTTCTTACCCTTCTGAGCCATCTGGCTAGCTCTCCTGAGACAACCCTGCTCACCTTTTGCTTCATCTGCCACATTACTAGGGGTAGTTTTCTCAATGAGCTTTCAGACCTAAGGGCAGTGTCCCCTTAGCTCAACCCTGCCCACTGAATGACCAGCTCACCAAGCACCTTTCAACGAATCAGAAGTACATGTAGAAGACTGGGGAGACTGCTCCTCTTGGACACCTCATTGGAAACACACAAAAAACTAATCACGGTGCATCCTTGTTACTTCTTTCTTACCTTCATCTACCTATCTACAAATCAAAGGTTCAACCTTTACCTTTAGTCCTGCAACAAACTCTTAATAGGGCAAAGAACAAAGGGTAGGTCAGACCAGTTCTTTGTTCTTGCAGGCTATCACCCTGACAGCCACTCTGCACACCTGTTTGAAGCAGTTCTGCATCATTCCCTGTAACTTGTGACTCATGCTACATTAACCTACAACTTTTTGGCTCCTTTCATTATCGTCTTCTCTACATCTTGTTTTCCACCTGTCACTGTTTAGCCCCACCTTGCCCATCAGATCTGGCATCTCACAGTAGGATCAACAATCTCCCACTGATGCCAAAAACAACAGAGACAGCCCAGTGCTGCTGCAGGGATGACAGCAGAGTGGACAGGAGATGGTTTTGCCATCCCCCCAATCTGTTCTCAGCAGATGGGCTTCCAGTTCAAGCACTCTCATTTACAGCAACTGTGACAGAACCAGTGACTAAGGATCTCAATAAGGACACCTGCTCATTCCAAGTTATTTAGGAACAGGCTATGAATGGGGCTGTTTGGCAGCTGTACTCTTTCCACATCTTTCTGCTGAGAGAAGTAATTTCAAACCAAGGCCAGCAATAACAGTTAAGACAACATACGAAAAGGAGGGATGGTCCAAATGCAGGAAGATACTTGGGTGTGAGATGTGGGAACTTCTCAGTGGTTTCAAAGGGAAGGCAGGTGCTTGAACTGTTTCATGGAACCAGACTTACCAACTCGAGGCTGTACTGGGAAATGCAAACCAGCAAACGCACAATTAACACCTGCCTAATCAAGCGGATGAAGGAGACATGAAAAAGTCTTGATATGCAGATGTCTCAGTGCACGCAAGAAACCCCCCAAAGTAATGACCTTGTGGCGATGCTGTTTGCATGATCGTAAGACATAAAAGTCCCCGGCCAGGGAGCACACTGAAACACGGCAGGTGCCACATGACATAAATAGGTATTTTTAGATATTGCAGGTGCAGTATTATACAGCCTCACCAGAAAAAACTGTGACTGCAGTATTACCAGTGCAATGCAAGTGGATTACTATTTCTCAATCGCTTTCATCTACTCGGAAAAGAAGTCTTCGGGGTTGTTATGCAGCCACTTCATATTGCATGTGCCAATTTACAAAGGCTTCATCAGTAGTAAGGCTGCTACCTTGCTTTTTCTCTTTATATATATGTTGTTTATATTCCAGCCATAGTGGTTTCCAGAGTAGTAAGCACCATGCAAATGACCGTTTACTGGATTGTGATAATTTGGACAGGAAGAAGGATGCTGGAAACCCTCCGTTCAAGTCCCAAATAAATCACTGGTTTCCAGTGGCCTTAGGCAAGTCACTTGGTCTTCCCATAGTCCTGTCTTCAAAACAGAAATTAGTATTTCTTTACCTGGCAGAGAAGCTGAGAGCATAAACCCATTAAAGCCTGCTAAGGAGTTCAGATCCTATAGTGATAAGCAATTACTTAATACATATGCAATGCTTGGGAGCATATGTTGGTTATTTTGTAATATAGACAAAATTGTTTGGTCCGATGAGCACATGAGAAATTTTCTCAATAACAACACAAATGCAAAGCAACAACAAAACCCCACCAATAAACTGCAAGTTGGCTCTGTAAAGATGGATGAATGAATTCTGATCTAACTGAACATTTCTTTCTGCTATGAATGTGTGCTCTCTTGGAGACAGAAGACAGGTACATTCTGCAGAAGTTGTGCAACAAATCTGGGTATACAGAACAGGAAAGCTCTACTAAAGACATTGAAGGAAACACTCTAGTGCTGAGAGCTACAGTTTTATAACAGAGGAAACCACAGAGTTACAAAACAACCCAGTACATCTTTATTGATGATTCAGAAAATCAAGCATTCACCTGACTTGCTCCAGCATATCAAGGTGACATTGTTCCTTGGTAGGCTTGGTTGATTTTTCCAAGGTAAGCAATATTTGCTTTTAATTCAGAGTGGGGAGAATCATGCTTTACAGTAGCCATCTTGTAACAGCAAGTGTATTGCTGCCATGACAATATTTTTAGGTCACATCTCCTTATTAATATTTCACATAACCCCCGCTACCTCCCAACAATGCTTATTTAGTACCTCCATGGCCTGTACTAGTCTCATGAGAATCTTAACCCTTTAGTTAAGTGGGATTTACTAATACTCCTGAAGTGCACTGAAGACACGAGCTGCTGTCAAATTAACTGCCAGTGTGCTTCCATAATCTCATCAGAACATATATTATTTTCAACAGGCCAGTATGAAATTTACCAAGAGTTTCACTGATATAAAAATTATCTTGATTTCACACTAAAACACAGTCATATCCTAGTATGTTATATATGGATAGTCACACCAGCAGTTTTCTCCATGTGAGTCAACTGCTGAGCTACAGGAGACAGGAGTGAGAGAACCTGGGGAAAGGAATAACATCTTTGATATTGTCAACTCCCAAGATGTACTGCAGGTAGCGTTCAAACCCCATTCCGAAGCCTCCATGAGGAACTGAGCCGAATTTTCGGAGGTCTAGGTACCTGTAATTTAAACAGACAGTTACGTTTGCAGCACAGTTATGCTGATGTAATTAAAGCGAGTCTTTTATCTACGGTTTTGCTTTCCATCTAAATTACTTCCCTTTGACCCTGACCACTTTGATTTCTGTCAACACAGGTGGTGTTGGTCAGGGGTGTGAAGAGGCAGAATTGTATTTGCAGAAACCCCAGGTGCAAACCCATTTAACCCAGAATAGCTATGCTTTGCTATGTTTTGTTTAGGAGCAAGAACTTATTTGGGTATGAAGAACAGCTTGAACATCATAGCTCTGCTCATATGGAAAGCACATTTGTAAATTTTAGTACCTAAAATATTCCTAGCACAGCTACAAACCCAGGTTCCTACAGAATCACAAAGCACTTCCACTGCTGGAGAGGAAGCTGCCTTCTTGGGTTTGTTTAGCCTTCACCATGCTGGTGTCGAAATCTGCCCTAAAACAAGTTCTTTCATTTTCTGTTTGCTTTTCAATAGCCTAAGTAATTTAATTTTCAGTAATTTCTTCAGAAGCCAAAGTAGGTCTTGCTGTCTGCTCAACATTCCTTCAGACTTTTTTTCTTTTAAGGTAATTAAGATGGCTTTTTGCTACTTTTTCCCTAATCACTCTTATAGACTGAGTCATTTATTTCCATAGTAAGCCAGCAAAAAAACTTGAATATATGTTCTCTAAAAATGAGATCTGGAACAAGGTATTTTATTTTGGAGAACAGCACCTGTTGTGCACAGAAAACAGATATCCCAAATATATGGGTGTCAACAAGATTATGATGGTTCTTCTTTAGAATTCCCTATTTCCCAGCTGGACTGTAGCTGATGTGATACTGTATTTACAGCTACAAATTGTCACCAATGGTTTTATTTTAATAGGAGTGAAAAACATCTCAGTGGTTCTATTGATTTGTGGGGCCGCTTCTGAGCTTGCTGAGGGCACAAAGGCATTCTTCTTTATATGAATGCACTAGTAAGGGATTGAGTGACTCCAGATGTATTACATGCTTCTAATCTTGGTGTATGAATATTTTATCATCCCGGTTTAAAAAAAGAAAATCAAGTGCACTTAAATATAAATGCATATATATGTTTTTCTACTTAGGCAGTGGAATAGAGGGGGGAAAACGCTGTGAATAAAATTAAGATTGGATTGATTGCAATAAATGGCTTCTCAAATTTTAACTACTGTTAATGAACTGCAAAGAAATATTATATTTGTGTGTATATATATTTATATATATAAATATGCATTATATATATTTGAGTGTACTTGCTTGGACATCAGAATTTTCTTGGCTTGAAGACTGTATTTTAACAGTGAAGCCAAAGTAATGTCAATGATCACCTTTACTTGCAAAATAAAAGCACTCTCCCACAAACTGTACAGCTGCAAGAATGCTCTAGCAGTCAGCTTGACAGTATGCCTTTTATACTATGAAATATTATTTTTCCTTGCAGTTCATAAACAGTAGTTAAAATTTAAGAAGCCATTTATTACACTCAACTCAATCCTCAGGTTCCCCCCCCAGTGTTTTTCCCTTCCCTCTACTGCCCAAATAGTAAAAATAGAAGCACATCTTACTTCTTCCTAGTAGCACTGACACACAAAGTGCAGTTGTGCTTATACTTCAAGTTGAACTCAAGAATGGTCTCTGATCACTGGGACTCACGTGCCTTCTATCTGTGCTGCTGCTTAGTTAGCTTGGCTCACTAAGGCTCAGCTGTATCCACCCCATACCTTATAATGAGGATTACGCTTAGGCTGTGAACATGCAGACTGTGCAACTGCATGGTGGTCTCCATTTCTATCCCCTTCATACAGACTGCATTAATAAGAACTTGTGTTTCTGCTAATACCCTGGGAACTGCCCCTGGGGAGCTCTGCTTCACAGCTTTCCAAGGGTTTGCAAGGCATCTGATAGGCAAACCTGATGCTGAGGGTGGTGACTCATGAAATAGGAAAGACCTCATAAATGTGAGGTATATGGGTCCTGGCTGTGGCAGATCACTGTGACCCAGCTCAGCAGTTCTGAGCAGAACTTGCAAACCAGCTGGTCACAACTTTAGCTGTAACTAGGAATATAAGTACCAGCACAAGGATTTCTGATGATGTCTATAAGTACATCTCAGCCTTGCAAAGGCAGTTTAGACTAAGCCTAGCATCTTCTCTCCCCATTTGCTGGCAATAGAGTTTATAAAGTCATTGTAAGAAGAAGAAATAACTCAGCTTCTTCCAGATGAACAATAATAATAAATTCTACCCTTACTTATCCAGGACTTTGATCTGTAGATCTCAAAGCACTTTGAGAAGCCATTTTGGCAAAAGAAGCGAAACAAAACCCATCAAAGTTAATGGAAAAAGTCTATTGAATTAAACGTGCTGAGGATCAAGACTGTGAATCCTTTCTGATGACTGTGCTTAGAAGAAGCAGAGGAATTGGGAAATTTTCCATTCTTCACAGATGAAAGAAAAAGTAACTGCCTGCAGATGAAGAGAAAAATCCCTTTAGACTGGAAAATGCTCCCTGAGGTTTTCCTTCATTCAGTAGTCTCCAGACATTGGATGTTTCTCACCTCAAAAACAGTCATGAACTAGTCTAGCTGTTTTTGCTAGTAACTCATACTTAAGAGGAGAGCTGAGCCCTCCATTGGTAACTGAGGGACTGTGCAACATTATTCCACAGGGAAAATGAGCTTCTGTGACCTCAGCTAGCCCCTAAGTTCATGTTCTGGACCTGAGGACTGGTAGCTCTTCAGCGATTTGAATCTTGCTAAAGTATGTGCTGCAACAACACCCCCCCAGCGATGAATTCCAGGAGCTTGTTATGTTATGTGCCACGTTAGAAGATCATGTGCTAGAAGAGCAGAATGTGTTCTTTTCAGTCTCCTTTCCAAACAAATATAATCTTGATCTTCTTTGCAACACCCTTGTTAAACTGAAGCCTCTGTGGCCAGTTTGAAAAAAGTAAGACCGAAAGAACGAAGTTCTTGAACAGTTCATGACAGTGAATATACTACTAGAGGAAACAAGTGAAAAAAAAGGGTAATGAAAAACTACTAGTGAAATGATACTTGAAAGATCATTTTACTGAATGTTTCAGGAAATAAACATGCAAAGCACCACCAGGTTCTGATGCCGGGTCAAACACTGTCTTAGCTTTCAGGGAGCTTCTGCTCTGCTAAAGCTTCTTGTGTATTCACAAATAAAACCATTCAGGGACACCAATCTAAAACAGTCCCATGGACATGAGTGAGATTTGGGCACATTCTGACTGGCTTTAGTACTGACTTTCTTCCTGCTTCTTTCTGGCTCGGCACAGGCCTCCAGTCTCTCCCCAAATCAAGAGTGATAGGACCAGGCAACTGCCAAGGACAGTGATGGGAAACCTGTTTTCACTGGGCTCTGAAGGAGGTTTAAAGGATGATATGAATGCTGTCACTGGCCATGGGCTGCAAGTGGCTCACCAGTGGTGCTGTTCCCTAAGTCCAACCTCTCCTTTCTATGCTGCCATACAAAGACCTATCACAACACTCCAACATTCAAGCTTCAAAGAAAATTAGAAATTAAAGAGCCCAACACAGCTCAGTCTTCTTCATCCAGAGCAGAAGCAGGGCCAAGACAACACAGTAAAATCCATTTGAAGATGGCAGACACCACCTGCTCTGCCACCGTGTACTTTCACCAGTGTCAGATGATAAGAAAGGCACCTGGACTGTAAAGTATGAGACAATCATCTCCACTGATGTGCATCATGATGATCAGAGTAAGGAAATGGGTGCCTTACATGCAGGAACACTGTCTGAAATGCTGTTCTAGCTGATGGTAGTGATTGTTCATTATTACAAAGTACCCACTGTGTTACTTTTAAGCTGGCACTTGGAGGCTGTAAACAGGGGACCTGATCCTGTTTGCAAGGAACATGCTTAATACTCCCTGGTCACAGAGAAAGCAAGTGACTTTCCAGAGTAAACTCTGATTGCTCGGCTTTCCCACCTCACTTACACAGACCTCTCAGTTTAGCCAAGATCATCATCTACAGCACTGAGCTCTTTTCTATCTACAGGTCAAAGGAAGAAGTGTGAAAATAAGATAAAATAACTGCAAAATCAAGCCAAATACTTCTCCAACTCATACTCTTTTTGGAAAGAAACCTGCACAACAGGAAAGGTGTAGTGTACTGAACAAGATTCAGAGGCGTTTGACCATGTCACTTTATCTACTTTTTTGGGAAAGTTTTCTAAAAGGTAGGAATAGCAAGAAGCAGAACAGCATTTCAGATCACCAGTTGCCTCTTTGCCCTACGATTTTCCCACAAGCAAGGCACTCCTGAAGCTGTCCTAGAAACAGTCAGATTCCACAATATCCTCATGTTTAGTGGGAGAAGAAAACAGGTAGAGTCAGATACATCAATGATTAAGGGGCTTCAAAAGGGATCACATTCTAAAGTCAGCAAATATTATATTTGAAAAGGAATGACTCAACTATTCTTCAAGGAGTTTGCGAGCCAGCTTTGGAAACTCAATTCAATCACTAAATTGGAGGAGATTAATTTCAGTCTCTCCTGCCACCTCCACTGAAAAGATGGATGCTGGCAAACCACCTACCAGTTTTCTGGCAGATTTTGGACTGCAGTCCAGAAGCATCCAGAATTACTCCTATCCTGCACCTTTCTAGGACACCAGACCCTGCTATGGCAGGGGGTAACAACAGCTTTAATCTTCTCTGGGATGTTACATTATCTGTGATGGAGCAGAGTGAATAAAGGAGGAAAGAGTCTCCAAAACAAGATTACAGGAGGAAGAGTTTCCAGAATGTGATTGCTACTATCACATGAAAATGCACATGGGGAACAGGCCACGTCTTAAAACTTCTCTTGAGGGAAGCATGAAGCAGGGCTGCACTATCTTAGTAGTGCTGGAAGGTTCTGCTGTTGAACATCAGACTTCCTCAGGCTGTATTTCAGCATCTAACCACACAACTTATACCCTTGTTCAGGATAATCCTTCCCTCACATGAAGGGATATGGTGTATTCTGGCCCATAAATACAAATAACAAAGGAAGACATTTAATTGCAAATGGATGATGTAAAGATCTGCCATATACTGTGCTATTCCTAAGTGATTTCATATTGTGAAAATGACACTTACTCTGTCTTTTTTCAAGACAGCCTCCTTAATGATCAATCCAAATACTGCAGAATATTTGAATATACTCTTCTAAATTTAAAATTCTCTGCACTAGCACACTCTCAGTAGCTATGATAAAGTACATACCAAGAAACACTTGTCAAGAAGAACACTAAGAACCTCCTGTCTTTTTAAGAGGTTAAACCGATAATTCAAAGGTTGATCTGTCTCCTTGGAATGACAGCTTTAATTGCTTTAACCACTTTGTTAGGGAAGATTTTTCGACGCAATTGTCCTGTCAATTGCAAAGGGTTGCAATTCATAGGGTTATTCATAGGGTTGTTAAAGGTCACAAATTGCTTGTGGTTCTGTAACCTGTTTATCTCATGCATGGTGGTCAGAATCTATTCAACTTCCAACACAGCCTAAAGATTTAATATCAAAAATTATTATGGGTTGTAAATGAATGCATTTCATGCAATCCTGAAAGGAATGACCTGTGCTGTGAGTGGACAAATGGGGAGGATAAACTAAGCAGCATTAAACTTTGTTTAAATGAACTGTCTGTTCCATCTAGACTGGCAGTGATGGCAGGGCAACTGGGCCAAAAGATGTTCCCTCAAGAACAGAATAAAAAAAAAAAAAGATAAATAGTTGTTTAAAGAGTCTCAAAAGAAGAAATAGAGCTTGCAGAGCAAGATAGCATCTTACCATTGGTAGGCATCTGTGAGTCCTAATCTGTGAAACAAACAAAAAAATCCCTTGTAAGTAAAAGGAACAGAGTTGATCTGCACAAGCCTGGAAGAGAATGCTACAAGAAAAGGGAGAGCGTGTGACTACACCCAGTCCAAAAAGGAAAGGCAGGAAATGAAGGGAAATAAAGGGAAGACATGATCAGTGGCTGTCAGTTCTGGTAACTGGTAGACAATCTTGAACAATTCCCAACATGTTTCATAAAATGCCAAGTTTGTTTTGTCAACATACAGGATTGATCCCACCTTCACACAAAGACTTGTACATATTTGTAACTTATCGCATATCAGTAAACTCTGCTTGTGAATGTTTCGAGTTTATGGCCCGAATATTAAATTTACAATGACATGCAGCCAACCTCATTTATGGGTGAGTCAAAATGTCTTCCCTATGTGGCTTCCATTTCATAGTGCACAAAACCACTGAACTCCTGTAGCTTTATTAATGTGTGTCAACTTCTGTAATGTCTTTTTCTCATCACCACCTGTGTAACTTCTCTCCTTTTCCTGCCCTGGCATAAACTGAGCAAAGTTGTAGTTTTTCTTCTGTTTCTCTGAACATGAACAGGAAATTTAGCAGTCAAAGAGAGACCACTTTTCCCATCTTCAGTGCACTGCAGCTGTCCCTGACTTGGCCTTGGAGAGCTATTGTATGAAGCATGTATAAGGAGACAAGAATCATCTTCTTTATCTCTAAGGTTATGCTGGGTCTGCAGGAAATAGAATTTAAAAGCCTAAACAAAGTATTTGGCTCAGCAAAATCAGATCCTGAGGACTCAAAATTGAGAGAAGCATGTGAAAGGAGGTGTGATTTTTCCAGGCCTTCTTCAATGCAGAGCTGTGCTGTAAGGTCACTGAAGTCACACCCCATTTGCAGCTTGAAATACTTTCTAAGACTTTCCTGATAAACAAGAAAGTCTGGCTTTGAACTCCATATGGACTCTCCTCCAGCCCCACAACTTGAGGACTGTGGACTCTAGATCTTACTGGCGAAAAATTTCGAGTGAAAAACTGCAGCAGGCAACACTACATCAGCTGAAGCATGCCTGCTTCAGAGAGCTCACAGAGAGAGTAGCAGGAAGCACAGGGAATATCATCATCCTACACTAAAAATGGAGAATCAATGTTCTGGTGATTTTAATTGCCTTGTGTCTTTTGGATTCATTATGTTGAAATGGATATTGCTTCTGTTCACTCACCAGACATATCTGTGTGAGCATGTGGCTGATTTCAGCAATAAATTAATTCCCAGTGTGCAAACAGTATTACCCTGGGATTAATCCTCCGCCAAAATTGCTTTGCACAAGTGTATGACTGCGCAAGTAGAAATGTTCAAGTGTTGGAAGAGACTTTGCACAACCTGATCTAGTGGAAGGTGTCCCTGGCCATGGCAGGTGGGTTGGAAGTTGGATCTAGATGGTCTTTAAGCTCCCTTCCAACCCAAACCTTTCTGAGATTCTACAAAAGGTTCCTTTGAACAATCAGACAGGATCCAGACAGTAATTATCTATGGAGAATTATCCCATCTATAATGTCGATTATTGTTAATTAAACAGCAGCTTTGATATTCTGACATGGAATTTAGCCTAAAATTACTCAAAGTCACATGATCTTTGCTAGTGGTGAAAAAGCCCATATGACACAGTTACGTCTCAGGCACTTCCAAGTGAAGCTTTCCACCAAAGTGTTAGCAAAGAACCATATTCTCTGAAATGACGCCAGTCACCAAGGCCAGCTGCATCACAGCTAGCAAAGTTTCCAACCAAAACTGCAGTTCCTCAGTTACACAGCGTGATGACAAATGTATCTAAGTTCTGTCTACATGACAACTTCCACCTTTACAATCCACTCTCAGCCACAAAAACTGTGAAGAAAAGGCTCAAGGATGAAGTGCCTCTCATTGGATCCTGTATCAGCTAGTCCCAGCAGAGCTGAGGCATTCAGCTGCCCTGGCCTCCTAGCATAAAGTAAACTTTTCTTCTCTGATGATCTAAAACAGAGAGGCCATTTGCATACCTCCAACAGAAGCATAAGAACTTCTTCACCAGTTTGCAATCACCTACTCGTATAAATAGATATCACAAAGACAAAAATAGGCTTTTAAATAGTATTGGTTGACCTTCCACTCCTCTGTCTTGCCAACCGCTGTGGGCTGCTCAAACACTCTCCTGAGCAGGCTAGTCTCCTGGCACCTGCAGGTTTTCCATACCTCTGTAAGCGTGATTCAAGGAAGGGCAGTCGCTCTTCTCTCAAGCTGCCTCCACACAACTCCCCTATTCCTGGTACGAGGAGATCAACAGCTGCAACCTTAACAGAAAGAAAACTAGTTGAAGTCATGCCCCATAGCCACACAGTGACTGGCAGAAGTACAGTTGACACTGACGGTTGTTCGTAAAACCCTACTGTAATTCTTCCAGAGTCTGTGACACTTAGGTAAGTATTTGCACATACTTGAAAAGTCTCTTGTTGACAGGAGAAGGCTGGGAGGAAATATTGCAAGGATAAACTTCAGTAAATCTACAGAAAACCTAAATGACAGCAGTGATGTTCCACACTGAGAACATCTACAGCAAGTGGTTTGAACTAAGTTACTCTGGTGACAACCCATGCGGGGTTATAAAGAACCCAACAGCAGCTCACAAGACAGCAAAGACACATGGGCAAGTTTCCTGAAGCCCTGATTCCCTGCTCTAATGCTGTAGCTTGTGTTCAGCCCTATCTGCCCCCATTCCTTGAGCCAGCTCAAGTGGATATGGTATCAGTGCCACTCATGTATTGGATCCAACTATTAGGATCCAAGTGATACCACTTAGGCTGTTAGGTTTGGGCTGGCTGTCTTCTCTGTTTTGTCTTCTAGGGTTACTTTTCTTACCCCACAGCTGAAGTGGTTCTAGAACTAAAGCCACTGAAGTGAAAGTGGTACATGGTAGGGTAGCTGCTCTTTGTAGCAGAAGCAATGCTTCAGGTTTTCTCAGTTCAACTGGGAAATCACACCTTCAAAGCATGAGGCTTGTTGATAAAGAGCTTACTTCCTGTGCCCATCTGCTTTTTGAGCATTACATGGATGCTACATTTGGATGACAAGAGAATCACAGACTGCTTGGAGCCATGCAATTCTAGGCCTTTCACCTAATAGTACAGAAGTTTGCCAGGAAAAGAAATAAACTATGCCAAACTTGTCTTAAGGGAATTAAGCTAAAACTTAACACTATCCCAGCTCCTGAATCTTCTCCCTCCCGTTGTTCCTGCTTTGGGGATTTCTTCTGCAACAGGAAAAGAACCAGACAGGATCGTCATGTCTTTTCTTGGACTTCTTGCACAGAGGCCCAGCAGATGATTATTTTCATCAGTCTATCTATCAGTAGGCCGAGACATATGCCTAGCCAAAAAAGCAGTGGAAGTGTGACCCATGGACTCACTGTGTGTTGAGGTCCATCTTCATTGTCCCGCATGTAGAAAGGCTTGAGGTCATATGGGTAGTTAATCACAAACACAGGAACCTCACCACAGTGCTTCACTAGGTACTTTTCATGTTCTGTTTGGAGGTCACAGCCCCACTGCAAAGACAGCAAAGGGGACCTGGGAACCTGCCTTTGAGCATCTTGCCCATGGCAAGAGACCCAACAAAATCCATGTGTAGAAGATGTGAAGCTTTGAATAACATGAAACCAAGCAAAGCAGCTTTTCATACAGGTCACTGGAAAAGTCTGCTAAGAAGGCAGTTTCACAAGTTTTAAGGCACAGCAAAGCACGGAAAATAATATGATTTAACTTCACAGAGCAAGGCCAGATCAAACCCAGGCATTTGGTATCAAATCAGAAAAAAATCCCAAACAAACAAGCAAAACCCTCCACAAAATCACCTCCCAAAAAACACCTCACCACACAAACAAACAAAACCAATCAACCACCCCCAAAAATCAACACCCAAACCATACTCCACATATCTAAAGAGAAATAGGCACCTATCCAAAGTCAGATTATTTGACCCCGCAAACTGGCCTTATTTCAGTATTACCTTTGGTATATAGAAAGCAGCTTTTCTGGGCTGATCCTCTATTTCCTGCTGTGTTACATGCTACATTAATTCTCACTTAAGAAAACCCAGTATCCTATTAAATTCTTTGTTATCAGAAACCTCAGGCATTTGCAATGCCCCTCACTTTTCCTTTCTTCCAGTGATGTTATAAATTTTGTGGCTTTTGACTTGAGACCTCAAGTCCATTTATAGGACGTGCAAAAAATATTGGGGGAGTAGAAGGGGAAGACTGGAACAGACCTCCCACAGATTCTCTTCATCTGAAAATATCCCAAGTTTGCTGTCTCAGATCAAGGTAGTACAGATGAGATCTGAGGTTCTACACCCACTGGTATGCAGAGATGAAACAGTTACTCAACTGGATAAAAAGGTGGCTTCGGACCTTCGGAGGGTTATTTTCCTCAAGGCATCAGAATGAGATAACAATTAAAGAGTATACACGAGGCGAGCACCACCACAAATGCTGTCCCATACTGGGGTGTGTGTGTGTTTGAAATTGTGCAAAATATGATTTTTAGAAAACCATAACCTGACAGTGTTAGAAAGACTAGCATGTTATTCTTTTTCCCAGTCAACATCTATGCTTTGGAAAGAAAAGGGATTCCTTTTATGTACTTCTAGATTACATGGTATTTTGACATGGTATTGGCTTATTAATTGTTGTCAGACTTTTGGTGCTACCTTATTATATTTCCTTTATTTGAGGACTATTGCAGCAACTCTCCTTAGATGATTGGTACTGAACCCGCAACACTCCCAGCACTACTCACACACAGGAAAGAGAAGTGCCTTTGCTGAAGCCTTGGTCCTTCAACAGCACAGTCATCACTTCCTTCCCTGAAAGCGTTACGTGTTGTTCTGCTACAGATCTCACTCCTTATATTGCTCCCATTTCAACCCCAAAGGCCAAAAGTTTCACCTGGGTGATAACCCAGCAAACACCCCAGAAGGCAGATAATTTGTGCCAAGGAACAACTCCCGTGGTATCAGAAAGAAAGGAGATTCTATAGAGTTCAGGCTGTGCACATGAACAGGCACAGGGACAAGTCACCTGGCAACAACCTACCTCTGGCTTGAAAGTGAAAGTTTGAGAAGCTTGCTTCAAAATTTCCACTGCTTCACTGTATGAAATTCTGCAAGAGGAGAAAAAAAAAAGTCTTTAAGATAACTATGAAAGGAATAACAAAGTTTTCTGGACAAGTGCCATGCTGGGAAAAATAAGGAGGCACTTCCCCACCACCATGCCAACTTGTGTGTAATGTCAGACTTCCCAGCAATGCTTCTTTGGACAGAAACCAAAAAGCATTTTATATGGCAAGAACCCTATGTTTTCCTGTGCTTCAGCTACATGCTGGGCAGGAAGTGCTAAGCTCTCAACACTTCTGCATTATTGCAATGTTGCATTTCAGTCAAAAGTGAGCTCTGCAGCGAATTGCTTCACAGAAATTTGTGGATTTTTTTTAAAGAAAACAATGTGCTCTCATCAGCATAGCTACAACAACATAGCTCTAGCTCAGGGTGTGTTAGGCAAAAATAACAGCTCAGGGTGCAAAGCTCTTGTAGCTCAAATGTTTCCACTTTGCTTTGCAAAAACCATGAGATTTATTTGCAGCAATGTTTCTCTACTGCTCTGTCAGACTTGGGAGCAGATTCTCCACTGATTTCCACCAGCACAAAAGAACAGCATCATGGCAATGCAAACAGAAAAATTGCAGTGAATGATTGTGCCAGGTTTGATAACTGGAAATCAAGACTCAATAGAAAAGACTTTGGCTGACAAGTTTTCCACATACCAAGCAAAATGTCATGGACAGAGGAATAACCTGACACTATACAGCAGAACTATATAACAGAACTATACACTATATAACAGAAAGAGTAACCTGACCACTATAATTTCATCTTTCTGTATCATTGGCTAAATCAAATTATAAACAAAATTCTCTAAGGAGCACGAGCTCTGTACATGCAGCTACAAGGTTTCACTAACACAGGGAAGGCTTCTGGAGGAAATACATTGCTCCATGTGTTTGGGTTATGTGAGGCCACAGTCCAAATGAGGTACATCACTGGCACAGGTTCAACACATGTAACTGATGTGTGTAAGCCAGGAATGCACCAGATCTGCCAGCAGCTCATGAAGAGAGAGATAGAGAGGGAGAAAGAGATGTTCTGACTCTCTCTCTTTTTCCTTGGACCATGGGAGAAGCTGAGTGGCAACTCTGTCCTCTCAGGAATATCAGTTAGGTCCAAAGAGAGGACTGAAATGGGGAGATGGTAACTTCCCTGAGGTCTTCCATGGTGCTCTTGCAGACAGAAGACACACAGAGGATCTATCACAATCCTATTGCTCAAGTGTGGCTGTAGCTGCTTAATAGGACAACCAGTGCTGGGCTGAGCAGACCTACAATGTTCTGTGGGAGAAATGGAGAGCTCCACTATTTGAAGACATAGGTAAGAGTAAGGAAGGAGGTATTCTTGAGGGCCAGTGAGGGAAACACAAACCCTTCAATTCTTTAGCACACATAGAACTGGGAATAGGAGTTGCACAACCAATAGGGAATAGAAAAAAAGTTGGAATTTTTAAATATCATAAAATACTTCTATAAAAAGGGAGCCACTGGAGTGGAGATGTGATTGAAAGAAGAGCACCAAGGCCAAAACCAAGCAAGATAGTGAGCAAACCACTGTGCAAGTACATGCTGGAAGAAGGATACAGTTATAGAAAGAGGATCTTGTCCAGGGGAGCAAGAGCCAAAGGCCAGCAGATTCAGATGTCAGTCTCATGCAGAGATGAAAGGGTAATGACAAATAGTAAAAGGGAACTGCAATTCATGCTCCTTTGGAGATATTATGCTAACCCAGAAGATACTGAGTTGTGAAAGAATACATACAAAATAGGAACTCTTTCCCCAAAAGCCCTCTTCCAGATCATTTTGAAATAGTACTTACGTCACAAATTTGTTCTTCAGTATTTGTTCCAACCTGTCCTTGGTCAAAAAAAGAAAAACATAAACATATAAAGATACTCTTAAGGGTTCAGGGGCCCAGAGGAAACTCAGAAAAGTGATTTTCCTCTATATTTGAATTTGTGGGACTGCATTCTGATCTAGATATGGGTCAAAATCCACTCCCAGCCATTCAGTGCTAAAAGAGTACCCAATTATTGAAGCTGATGATTCAGAGGCTGCCAGATGATGTGACAGCTACACTTCCACCATACTTGCTACTCGCTACAGAAACCTGTGTATCCTCTCTCTGCTGGCCTGAACAATCACTTAAGCTCAGGCTGACATTTAGCTCTTCAGTTTCTTAACAAAGGACAACACAGTAAAAAAAAGAATAATAAAAAATCAGCCTCCCTATAGCCAAGAACCCCCAAAATGCACAACAGGATTGCAGCTCTTTCCTGTCACATGTATTACCTTCTGTGCAGGAGCTACATATTTATGAAAAAGTTCAACATCACAAGGACATTTGGAGAGCACAGTGCTTGTTACTGTCTTGAAAAGATCTTCCATAACCTAATAGAAAAAAGAGAAATGGATGAAAAATGAACACTGCTTCGGTGTCCCCAACTACAAATGAAACATGGTACACATCAGCCAAACGGTACAGAAGGAGCTTCTATCCTTCTGCATGGTCAGACTGCATAAGAGGGTACCAGCTTGCTAATGCTCCTAATTAGCAAGCTTGCTTAGTAGTTGAAGAGGACCGGAACCTTTATTTCTACTATGGGTTTAGGACTTCACTGTCTGCTGATGGCCTCAGTATCTTCAGTCAGGTATCTCCAGTTGAAAAACAGCACAGCTGAAATATTCAAGCAGCAACCCTGGTCAGACAGACACATATTACAACCATTTGTGGAGACTGGTCTCAGATGAATTCTTAGTGAGGTATCTGTCCTGTAATGAGTCATTCTGGGTTTCTGCTTTGTTGTTAGTAAAAGCAGAACTAAAGGAAAGGAGAATAAACCTGTAGTGTGTAGAGCCAGCCCACAAAATGGATCCCAGCTAGAGAGACTCCACAGAGTAAAAGCAAAGTGAAGATACACAGAGATGAGTAGAGAGCTAAAGCAGAGGACACATCAGTGCAGGGATGTTTGAGAAACTAAAAAGATGTGGTTCCATTTCCCTAAACCAACGTGTATTAACTAAATGACATTATCATCCAATTTGGATATAGTTATCCAGTAAAACAGGCTTCACTCATTTAGAAATTAAAATGCCATTAAAAGCCCCCACATGCGATGCCATTTTCATCAACCTGTTTTAAGAGCAATTTTCTCTTTTGGTTAAGCAAAGCAGTCCATTCAGGACACTTGCTGTTGTGCAGATTAAGAGTTCTCATGACTCCTCGTAGTCTCACACCCCCACAAAGCAGATAGTGGTACGACCTGTGGTATCAACTGATGACAGTTCCAAACCTTCTTCAAAATCATTCTCCTATTCTACCCTCCTTGGTAAGAACAGAACAATGCAGCTGGGCTGCACGTCACCTCAGCCTGGTATGGGACTAGGTTTTTCTTAATAAAAAGTATCTCTGAAAATTCTGGCACATTCTTTTTTTTTTTTTTTTTTTGGTGAGCATAACAACCGCTTCATTAATTGCAGAGTTGAGAGAAGCAAAGTATCCACCAATGACACTTAGGTGAGCAGCAGTACCCTTCCCTAGACACTACAAGGCCCAGGGAAGGCTAACTGTGAAAAGACGAACCTGACGTTCAGTCAGCAGATCAGAAGAAGCAGCAGCAGGTCTCTGCCTTACAAGCCCTTACAAGGAACCAGATCCTACAGGGAAAGAGGAACATAAGGCACAGAAATGAAGCAGCTGTGCTACTGACATAGCCTGTATGAGATGAGATTTCAGGCACACTGTTCAAACTCTTATGTTTGGATGAACATCTGTCACCTGTCCCAAGCTGCTGGAACACTACTCTGTGCTGAATAACCTCTGTATCCCACCAGCCTAGCAAAGCTGGTAAAGCAGTCCATTTTGACTCCTCTGGAGCCAAACTCAGACTCAAGACTCTTGCATCAACCTGGGCCCTCTTTCTAAAAAGGGAAGATGCAAATAAAGGAACAGCATTATCATATGCAGATTAACAGTTTCACCCCTCCTGGTACTCAAACATAGAGGAAATGAAAAGCCAGCATTTCTGCTGCTGAGTGGCAAATAACCAAACAGTCAGCTTTGAACTTTCTTCAAAGTAGCTAGAAAAAGGTTTATGCAAATGAAATCAGAAAACTGCTTGGCAATTCATGTGGTTTCACCAGGCAGAGACGAAGGGATTTTACATTAAGCTTCCTCTTTCTAGAAAATGAAAGTATCATCTGGTTTCAGAAAAGCATGTTGTTTAATTAGCACTTTTTTTCCTCACTGTGCGATAAAGTAACAATTAGGTTCCCACAGCATTCAACATGAGCAGCTTCCTCTTGTGGAAAAAAGATGTGGGTGGTATGGGAAAAACAATCGGAGAAATATTTCCAGGTTTGAGACTGAGGTTTTATCCTGGCAAAAAAACCCAGACACGTGGGTCATACACTGGCCTCGTCACTGCTCTTATTTATGCCAAACATGTACTAGACACAAACAGTAGAGAGGGGAAAAAAGGAGAAAAAAAAAAATCTCATGCTGAGAATTTATGTCTTTAAGCAGTTAGTACGATGAAGGACTAGAAAGTGGGCAATAGGAGAAATGAGTGGAGAATTGTAACCACTGGCTTGCTGGACTGAGGGAAAACATGAGCTGGAGATACAGGTGAAGTGATTGGTTTGAACATATCCTGAAAGAAACATGTTTGATAGGAGACTTACACAGGGAAAAAGGCATTGGAATCACATCAAGTAGCTCATCTCAGCAGTGGGACTTCTGATGTCCCAAAAGCCCATTAATTTGGTTGCTTCATAATGGCAATGTGGAAACTGCTGGTAGGAGGGCAGACAAGAAGGACAGAGGCTAAAGCTCTCCCCTCTCCCTCAACACTACAGCTTTTCTCTTTTTATTTTCACCTTTCAAAGTTCAGCAGTATCAGCCTTGGCCTTCTCCAATGCTGCTGTGTTACTCAATGGTTAACTGTTCAATTTTAATTAGAAGCAGCTCCCAGGGGTATTGCTTAATTTTAACTTGGATCTTTTGATACTGCAACTTATCCTTTCTCAAATAAAATTATGATCAGAGTTGAAACAGGAAATCATCAATAAAACAGCAGTAAATGTCAGCAGCAGCAACTGGAGGTGCTGTGCACTCCAAGAAGAGTTCAAATCATCATCCCTGTTGCATAAGACACTTTCAGAAAAATCGCATGACCTGCCAGTAGGGTTTTTATTTATGTATTTACCTGAGGCATGCATATGGATGCAGTGTAGTTCACAGGCTATTTACATATGAGACACTCACCAGTGGAGCATTATTTCTTGCTCTCATACTTGGACACACACACCGTACACGTATGCACATATATACACACAAAGAGGGGAGGATTCCCATCTGGTCTTGATCATAAAATCTCCTCTCTCAGCTACACAACCAACAGCTCAGGACTCACTCTAGAGAGATGCTGTTGTTATGCAAGGAAGGAGACTTGTCTGTAGGACTCCTGCTTCACTGGCCATTGAAGCTTGAATGCTGACATAAGTTAGGGAATACAGCAAGCCTCAGCTATGCCAGCTGGATGCCACTTCACAGAAGGAACTTACAGTCCTGCAGATACCCCAATGTCCCTAAAGAGTGCTGAGCAAGACACTTGGACCAAACCTTTCCCACGTGATTACCAGTGTTTGTTCCCTTGAGACTGCAGTCAGATTTGCCCAAGTGCCTCAGCCTGAAGACAAAAAGAATGCTGAGTGCAAACTATTCTGGAAATCAAATCACATACATGTTTCAGATCCAAACTCTCTGAAGCTGACACCTCAAATCAGTGCCACTGATTTCATTTCATGCCTGAACTCCCTTCTATAAATGGAGGTAATAATGCTCCCTGTCACTAGGCTGTAATGACAGCAAATTAATTTTGATGAAGTACATAACCAGTGGAAGACAATACTTCTGCCCTCAGGACAGAGCTCAAATACTGAGTGTTAAATTGTATTCTCCATCTGAAAGAGACATATTCTTCATCCCTTAAAGAGACAGTGGTGCTAGGATGTGATCTTGTTAAGGAAGACTAACACTATGCATAAACTCCCCAAAATGCCATTGGGAAAATGCCTTCTGGCATTTCCTATTTTTACAGCCTAAATAATGTCTTTTTTAGCATAGCTTTGTATGTGTGTTTTATGAAATTCAATAATGACTGTATCAAATGGCCTCTGTGAGACCCCATTAGTGTCAGGAGTGAAGTGGGATCCTCTAAATCTACTGCACTGCCAAGACAGCAGAATGAAAAACAGAAGATAACGGTCTCCAGATACATCTACATAACACAGCACTCAAGAGAGAGGGAGAGATTGACAGCAGGCATCTCAGAGGACAAATGAAACTGGAGACCTTGGACCTCCAATACAGGTACTGGAGGGGAGATGACTCTAGATGGCCACGTCTGGAAAGTCCAGACACTTCCACAATTGAACCTCTTCCGCTGTCTACCTGACCTTCTTCTAACTCCTTCTCATCCAGTTTGGAGGAGAAAAGTGCCTTGGAGCAACCTGACCCAACTTCTTCACTTCACTTGTGGAAAGAGGCTACAGAGGTCTTTCCTTAGATACCCTTACATAGGTACCCTTAGGTACCCTGTACAATAAAGCAGAAATACTATTACCCAGCCATGCAGCATAAAGTACTGCACTAAGCACATGGGACTTTCCACAGAAAGTATTATGAAACCAGTATTGTGAGAGTTGAAGCTTCTTTGTAGCACTAAAACACATTTTGGCAGAGAACAGAAATTCAGATTGCATGATTAACACATAAGAGACTTCACAAGAACTGTGCTACTAATTTAGGAATAACTGAGCACTGCTCTGTGCAATTACAGTGGGGAAAAAAGGCCACTGCTCTAAGATTTCAGGCCCTTTGTTCCTAATTACATTTAACTTGGTTATTAAATCTTCTTTTTTCCTTTTATTTCATAAGGAAAGCTATGTTTCTTTTGGAGCTTTGGCTGAGAGAAAGACCTCAAGGCCTCATCAGTGAATGGTAAACATCTACATCTTTATAGCAACTCTTTAATACTGTACAAGCAAATACTTCAAGATGTCCCTGAAGAAGCTGAGCATTCCCAGCATACTAGTTACTATTAGAGGTACTTAGTCCAAACGTTGAATATCAATTTTAAAAATAAATCTTAAACAATTCAGCTCTTTATGTGAGGACAAAGTTCAGATGGTAGCCATGGCCAAGAGCCCCTGAGGCTTTCAACAGGGCATTTTGCACCGAACAAAGAACTTGCAGATGACAACAAACAGACAAACTGCCCAATGGGCAGATACATGAGAGAACACTGAATTTAGGTCAGTTACACCAGGCAAGAAACTTGACTTAGGCTTTAGAGCAGCTGGCAGGGTTTTTTGTTGGTGTTTTTCCGTTTTTTTAAAGAGTGATTGCCCAATGATTTAAAAATAAACAAAATGGGAACTCCACTTCTGCAAATAAGAACACCCCAAAATTAAGGCTGTTGCAATGTAGACTCATTATGAGGAATGCAAAATGAAGGCTGCTAGGAGACTTTCTGTTATAGGGAAAGAAGCTTGTCAAAGACTTTAAGACAGAGGAAAGATGTGAAGACAGCACAAGATGAGACTTCACAAGATACTTAGCAACAACAAAAGACAAGACAAGGGGGGAAGTTCTTCCTTTCCCTACAAATAAAAGCATTCCAGAACAGTTCTCAACCCTAATTCTCTGAATTGTCTGAACTGGTCGTCTATACTTCAAAAGACAAGAAATTAGGGTTCTCGCACAGGATATGTTGATGCTGTGTTCAAGGGCTCAAACACCACTTAACAGAAGACCCTGCTTATTATACTAGATAAAAGCAGTGAAGATTTCAATTAGCTCCTGATTGCCTAGAGAAACAGGACTCAGGAAGTAAGGTGTGAACATATATACATGCTATGCTCTAAGAATACACAAAGTTGTTCTGGAGAAAAGGAGAGAGCAAAGAAAGAGCAGGATGCTACTAATGATGGAGCACAGATTCCCAGTGGTCAGTCCACACAGTCCAGTGCCATCCAGACATCCTGGACATAGAAGCAGCACACAGAACATGTCAGCTCTGCTGTCTGGCCATACCAACTCAGCGATGTGTACGATCCAGGCTGAAGAAATGACCACCTGGATGTTATTTTATAAATCTGTAGTCAGTGTCTCAGGTATTTTTCTTTATAAGGCTGTTTCTCCAATAGCTTTCCAGAGAGCTTATCTGATAAACCAGAGTTTGTGAGGATGTTTACTCATAAGTCCTACTGGACATAAGCTGGCTAACATTGAGACTAGTAAAATGCATTAGCATCCATCATGTGGGTTAACTGCAACCGAGAGGTCAATCCTGAAAAATCAAAAACCAACAGACTAAGGATTTCCTCCAATCTTCTGCTAAAGCCACAGTGAACAGTGTATGCCAAAAACTGTTGTTTCTACTTCAGATTTCAATGCAGATTTCAAGGAGGCCTTTACAGACCACATCAAGGGACACACTGTACAAATACTGTTCATTCACTGGAGAGGTGCTGAAGGTTTTGAAAGGGAGAGTGCCACTTTCATTAGCCCAGTCAAGCACATTTACACACTTCCTGGCAATACAGCAACTGTGCAGCTTCGGATGAGGGCTGTGTGCACCTGTATCTTCCCTTCCAAATACCCTCTGTGGCCTCATCTCTGCTGAGCAAATCCCAATCCTTGGGAAACCCCTGTGCAGCCTCTACTTGGTTCACACAGGGTGAGAGGAACTGTGACCTCAGCTGAGGGTAGGGAGCACATCTCAGGGAGGAGGAAGAAGCTCTGGTACTGGTCCTGCACAGGCATTTGGAGTGCCCACCTGCATGATGTCCTGTAGGCTTTCAGTGAAGGATAGCTCAGCCTCCACCATGTAGAACTCTGCCAGGTGCCGACGACTCTGTGAGTTTTCTGCTCGGAACGTCGGACCAAAGGTGAACACGTGGGTAAAAGCCCTGCAAGGTGACAAGATACAGGTCAGGTTCAGCACACAAGTGAGTCTGTTACACCTAAAGCCCTCACTTTTCAGGATCTAGAAACAATGTTTCTATTTCATCTTTGACCCGTTTAATGGCACTGCTGAATACGCCACTGTTATGCTCCTTTATCCAGACATAGAGAGGGCTTATTCACACCTCTTCATGACTCAGGGAGGTTGCACACACAGTATTCAGCTTTCACTGTACACAAGTCGTGGTCAGGACACTTTTTGCAACTGTGAGGGAAGAAAAAACAACATTCTGCAGAGCCAGATAACTGGAGAAACACCCAGTCACCACACCAGTCAGGCTCTCCTTGACCGCATCCTTTCTTGTTTCTTTGGCTGCAATGTCTGACCTTCATGGGTGCTGTGAGACCTCAGAGCACAACAGAGCAGAAAGTGCCCTGCAGCTGGAGTTGCTGGGCTGGTGCAAACACGAAGGGGTGGCGGGTGAAGCCCAGCAGGATGGATGCATGGTGTATGGCTTGCAGTCCCCCTCTAGTGGCAAGACCAAAGTTTATTGCTGAAAGAGCCTTCGAGATAATCAACCGGGCATTGTCCACACACCTAAAAATGGTTCAGCTAAAGGGTCCCTACTGCGGAGAACACACCTGGGATATCACTTGGTGCTAGAGCAACCAATGCAATTCTCCAGCCACCTTCTGGAGAGTCTATTTAAACACATCCTCTCTTGTTCTGCAGTCATGTCATGCTGTGTTTCTATTTCCCTTGTAAGAAACCTTCCTATCCAACACCAACACATCCTTAAAAGTTTTAGTTTTATGTGTGAAGCTGCACTACAAGCAATACCTTTTACACCACGGGCTATGAACACTTGGGCTCCTGGACATCCTCAAGCCAGCGAGAGCTTCCCAAGCAGATGCCATGACAGCAGTGTTTCCCCTCTTGCTGCATGGGAAGCAAACCATGATTGGGGGAGAGTGAGCTGCTTCAGAAAAACCATGAACTGGGCAGCTGCTATCTTTAGTACATCTTTAACTTGATGTTATTTTCAGCTGTAGGCAGCATGTAAGAGAAAAAGAACCCAAGCAGTATAGATTAAGCACAGTCTGACACTCATGAAAGGATGCGTGCTAATAGCTGGGGTTGGCATTTGACTTGCATCTTGCTCTGCAAGCTTTCAATTTAAAGAGGATGTTCACTGAAGTTTCTGAACAGGTTAATTTTGTTAAACTGAAGTTTAAATAAACAACACTACAAAAAGCAGCATTTTTCCTTTGCCCCTTATGGAGACATCTGCGCTGCAAATAAAGGAACACACACATTTTGCTTCACTCATCTGTTTCCTCATGTCACATGTTGGTTAAAGGTTATGATCCAAAGAAAGAGCACTTTCTTTTTCCTTGAGTTGCTAGTAGTAAACACACCAGAAGAAAGTTTCAGGTCAAGACTCAATATGCAGCCTGCCTGTAGGTTTCTTTTCCCCACTGCTCTGCTTTCCCCACTCCAAAAAACACACTTTCTGTCTCTACTTTGCCCCTGTACCTGCACTCTCTCATACATGACCACAGCATCTATGACTTTAACCAGATTTTGCAGCAAACATCTTTCCTCAAGCATCATTTTCAACATGCCTCTTCGCTCTGCTGCCTTTCTTACTTGTTACGATGTTACTGTGAAACTTCTGCTGTCTCTCGATCATCCTCTTTCAAACTGCCCTTTGCTATAGCGTCTGTAAAACCTCATCAATGCTTAGACAAGTAATGTACCAAGACTATTACTCAATGCACAGGTCAGTATTATATCATAGGTTCCTTGTGATCCCCCATCTGTAGCCACCTGTTGTCTTGGGTTATACAGAAACACATGTTCTTCCTCAACAAGGCTGTTTTGGTTTGTTTTTTTCCCCTGTTCCTACTGCACCTGGCACAACAAGGTCTTGGATCCAAAGCTTAAGAGCCTCAACTGCTATAGCAATACAAACAACAAATACGAAAGAATGAGTCATGCTGCCAAAATTGTTTTGTGTTTAAGGCAGAACTGGTCAAAAACTTTTGCTTGGCAGGTTGTGGAGGCTGCCTGCAGAGGAAAACAGGAGATGCAGGTTCTTGTTCTATCTGTCCCCACGTTTCAGGCTTTTGCTAAAATATTTCAATTTTAGGCTCTTCAGTTAAAGAAAGAATTTTCCCTAAATACATGAATTTAGTCACAAGTTCAGTTTGTGGCTGAGCCAGGATCAGACACAAGACAAAAATATTTTGAAATGCCTGCAATTGCTGAAGTACCCATTCAGGTCTGCTCAGTTTGATGTGCAGGTTTCTAATCTCTCACTGACATGAAGTCCTCCAAGTAACACTTAAAACTAAAGTGTGACACTAGCTGGCTAGCAGGAGATCCTGTCCCACAGAGCAACAGTCTGGCTTCAGCAAGAGACACACTTCTGTGCAGCTGTCCAGGCACAGGCACTGACATTCAGTCACTGTAGGTTACCATGACAGATGACAGCCTCCAGCAATGAAGGCTACTAAGAGTACTTTGAACTGTACTTATTTCCTACTGAACAGCAGCCCAAGCATGATGACTACGTACTCATTTTCCAAGGGGGTTGCCAACTGCACGATACCTAAAAGCAATCAAAAATAAAAAATACCCCTCACATTGCTCCAAGATGTCAACTATGGTCAAATACTTCACAGTTTTGTACTGCAAGAATAAAGCCTCTCTGTGCCTGAGACAGAGCTTTTGGGGAGAGAAAGTGCAGAACAACTGTCCCTGTTCCCACAGGAACCAACTTCTGTCTTTTCTTAGCTCTAGGCATCCTGTTGGAATGAATTTTCTCTAACCTGTAAACCGAGAACCACCTATGTTTACAAAATGAACCATTAGCACTGCAACTCTATGGACTATTCCAGAGTGCTCAACAGCAGTAAGGGTAAGGGCTTTGTGATAGCCTGTAGAACCTCACATCACTGGTGTGGGGCTGAGTTTGACTGCCTGCCCCTTGGAAGAAGGGAAAAAACAAAACTCAGCCCCCCCTCCCCCCAAATAAACAAACGTGCAGGAAGGGGAGGAATCATTCATTTCCCAGGCTAATTGTAAAGGAAAAAGACAGATACAAGTAACTGTGAGAACCTCACCACAATCCTGGGACCCTGGCAAAGGGAAACCAGCCAGATGACATGCTGGCAAAACGATCAAAGGAGCGCAGTTAATGCAAGTCATCTGGTAATGACAATGTAGCACTGACCAGAGGCCTGGACATAACAGAGAAACACAGCTAAAAATATATAGTCCCTCTTATCAACTCCATGCGTGAACAATTATTTCCATCCAGGCATTTATATGCTGTTTACTGTGCTCTGCCATTCAAGATATTAAACAAATGCCCGCTACACAAATTCAGCCTTTATTTGTACTTCATCTGCTATAAAAAAACATATCTCTGATTTGATACACTGCTGTATCACACTGAGAATGTATAAATATGTTAGAAAAGAGGGATGGGAGCTGACTGCGCTCCAATTTCATGGTACTGAGGGCAAAATCAGTAATTTTGTTCTGTGTGCATTCAGCACCTAGCACAATGGAGCCTCAGTCCAGGGCTGCGAGTCCTATGCTCTACGATGCAAATAATTAATCATTTAACATTCCCAGACCTCTGCAAGACTTCCAGCATTTAAAAATAACTTAAAAATTCTGGCTAGGTCTCCAAAAATGCCTAGGTCAGTTAGGGTTGTGGGCACTAAAGAGTCTTTAAAAAAAAAAATCAGTAGTGCTAATTCCTCATCTCCAACAAAAGCATGCAGGAGAAGAAAAAATAGCCTAATAATCTGTTAAGCCTTTTTCCTTAGCCATTACAGCAGAGCAGTAATACTGTCCTTGTATGTGCTACCAAAGAATACAAGAGAAGCTTTGAAAAGAGTCCCTTTGCAGTCAGCTTCACCCAGATCAGAGCTCTGGACAGCAAGCTCAAGTGCATTGATGCAGCTCACAGGCGCTGCCGGGGTTGACACCAGAAGAAGGCATAGAGCCGCTTAATTAATTGCTCCCTTTCTGTGACTGTATTTCACCCTGTCTGGTTCTCTGGGAAAATTTGAGAGCTTAATGTGGAGGCCAAGAGAATACCCATGGCACTCCCTCCAACAACTGAAATGTGGCAAAAGCCAGGGCCTATCCTGCAAAACCCTGAGCTTGCTCATCCCAGCCCAGCAAAGGGCTCAGCCACTTTCCAGCTACAGGCTCACAGGAGTGCCTTTGGACACTGAAGCAGCACTTGGCAGCATTGTTGGAGAACAGCCGTCCTTCACACGGATGGTCACTCGGTGGAGGCTCATTTTTGCACAGACTGCTCTTGTGTTCTCCACCCTATGAACACCCAGGAAGGGAGAAACTTCCCCTTTCCACCTTTATTTACATGCTACTGAAACAGTCTTCTGAAGTAGCCACCTCTCTCCCTTTGGGAGCTTTCTGCCACGCACAATGAAAGCTCATTTCATTTGAGTTCGTTACCAATTCATTATAGAGGCAGTGATAGAAACCAATAGAGAAGTAATAAGTATCCGTGCCCAAAGCTGCTTCAAATCGTTCTTTTAATTAAACTCCTGCAATGTTTGTAGGCCTCACTGTCTCTGCCTTACTGACAATTTTTATGCTGCAATCCAAATAGAATTAATGGTGCCGACGGTTCCCAAGCCAGGAATGGATTGTGCTCCTTTTCTGAGCCAGGACTCCACACTGCTACCAAGGTAATAAAGACTTATTTGTGCTGTCGAACCAAGGGGATATAACTCTGAACAAGGCTATTAATCAAGAAGATGCAATCCCTGCACAGTCAGCTTACAGCCCATACCGAGGTCAGAACACCACAGCAGTGACACAGCTGGAGACAGAAGCTGGTTGCTGTGACTCAGGGCTAAGCACTAAACCACACCAGTACACACAGGGAGCAAAGATGTTTTTCAAAACTTAATCATCATAGTGACTCCTAGAGTAAGCCATAAAAATACATTACCA